TTAGTCTCCAGCTGTGAGGTGCATGTGTGAACAGCCAGGTCAGGAGAAAATCCAGAGCAGTCCTCCTGAAATTATCTAGATATTTTCAGGAGTGCATATGTGAATATATATAGAATTACTTTATTGATCCCAAACTGGGAAATGGTGGCGTTACAGCAGCAGGTTATCCAAACGCAATATTAGCAAATTTAAAAACAAAATAATATTAAATACAAAGTAAATAAGCACTAAATACATCAAAACTAAGAATGGGAATATATACAACCAGGATTTAACTAAGCACTTTGGCTTTGGATACCAGCGTACCTGTGACATGAGCAGACAGATGCTCTATCGAGCTCTGGTGAGCTAAGCTCACACACTAAAAGGTAAATGTTTCCTAAAACACGGCTAACTGTGTAAGGATATGCAGCAGATTAGGATGTAGGTTTGTGGACTGTGCCAAAGTGAATGACACCGTAAAAAATCAAAGCCCTAAATCTGCTTCAAAACGTCTGACGCATGTTTACTCAACGTATCAGTGCCGCCTGGTATTCCTATTGTTTGCTGTCGTCATTGTGTGGCCGAAGAATACGCCCACACAAGTCACAGAAGTTAAAGGTAGACTTAAGTTGGCAAACAGGTTTTAAGTCCAACGTCTATCAATGTTTATCACACAGCAGCTGTTTTGATAGCTGACTGGTATTGATGGAGAGCTGTGTTAAGCCCCATTCACTGCAGTGTCATGACACACACACACACACACACACACACACACACACACACACACACACACACACACACACAGGGCATGTATAGGAACAAGTATGTGGATCAAAGGTCACCCGTTTTACAGCCATGCCATTCTTTTTCTGCTTTGTATGCAAACACAGCGATGGCCCGTGTCACAGACAGGCACTCGATTGTTGTGGGGGTGGGTGGGTCAGTGGGGGGGGGGATTATCACTGCTTTACAAATGGCTCCAACGGGACAGAAAAGAAGGTGTTTCCAGAGATGTTTAGACTCGGTGGGGTACTCCTCCCTTTTTTTTAAATCTCTGTCAATGTTTGACATTGAGGTGGGATTCAGCAGCAGTGATCAGCCTGAGGGACTGTCACCGCTGCTGCCTTACAGATTAAATGATGTTGACAACTTGGTCCAACAGGCACACAATATTTGTCTAGTACAAAGCTCGGATAGAGTCTGGAAAAATGTCTCCATTTAGAGGGTACACAGTATCGAACATGACCCACAGAGCTAAGATTTTGAATCAGTTTGATATCTCTTTAAAGGAAGAATGTGCGACTTTTTGATCCAGTAGATGTCGCCCTTGAGCACCAGCATGAAACCAAAACAAACTACTGTTTGGCCACGCCTCCTCCATCCTGAAGCCTCCGCTCTCCTCCAGAGACACACCTCCAACCCCTCTCCACTCGTGTTTGCACAAAGCAGTTATCAGATGGATTGCGCCATAATTAAACACCATTAAGCTCAAGCGGAGGACAACATTTCCCTGTGTCCTGCATTGTTGTGTTAGCATGCTAATGTTAGCGCTCTTTAGTTAGCTTGTAGCTTCACATTGCATGCTCTAAAACACTTATGTGATATTCAAATAATCAGTGAGTATGTTCTTCTTCTTCTCTCTAGTTCTTGACTAAAACAGCTTTTATACACAAGGGGAGGAGCCGGCCGTCCCGTCCATGTAAACACGGCTCTGACAACAACACAGCCAGCGGGACTCGAGCTTCTCCCTCATTGTAGACAGTCATGACTCAGAGAGACATTTACACAGGACAGACTTTATGATTTATTTATGTGTGATATGTTGCACATTCTAACTTTAAATCGGGACAGATATGAGACTTTGAGACGGACACAGATTTTCACATGACATGGCGGACGATTAAGAAAACATTTGAAGTGCAATGTGCACTGATATGTTACTATGGTACGCAGAAGAATGCTCTCCTTAAGGTGTAACTTTATAAAAAAGTGTTTTTCATGAAACCCATTATTAACCAGTCGTAGTTTGTCCCCAGTCCAATTAAAACCCCTGTGATACCTGTTTTTATCAAACTCCCTTACTCCCAATTTCCACATACTCTGAGCGCCGTGCCCTACTGGCTCCGTTTCTGGAACGTGAGCGCAGCCATGATCAGCTGTACACGCATCTCAGGACACATTGCTGCCTGTTTTGATTTAATGTTGATAAAGTGATGGAAACTCGATGGAGTCTGTATATTCTGTTTTATTTTGAAATTGACTGGATGCTCTGTGTGTTTCCTTGCCTGACTTCCTGTCTGGGTTGTTCTATTCTGTCTAGCTTGACGTGTGCCTGCAGCGAGCTCCGTCCTAAAATAGACTCGCAGCGTATTTGAAACAGAGCAGAGAGGAGTGGCGCTGCTGGCACGCTCTGTGCAATGAATAAACTATCAAATCTGTTGGGTGAGATGTAGCTGATTTAAAGAGCCCATATTATGCCTTTTTGGGGTTCATATATTTAATCTATGTACCTACTAAAGTATGTTCACAATAGCTGAAGTTGAAAAAAGTGTCTGTTTTCATGAACTGATCATGTACCAAGTCTGATCTGATTGGTCGGCCTGTCGGCTCTGCCGTAATTGGTCAGTCGCTCAGCACGGTTCTCGGAAATGTCACGCCGTTTTACCATATTGGGAATGCAGCCACTTTGGCTCCGAGGGGAGCAAAAACATTAGCACGTTAGCACTACTGTGCTACCGCAGGCTACGGCATATCGTGGGTGTGCTACAGAAGTTAACGGGCCTGCAACATGAGCTGCTGGGCCACAACGAGCCAATGGGCTTAAGATCAGTGATCTCACACTGACAAGACGTCACACTGGCAAAATTTTTTTCGAGGGGGGCTAGAACCGAGCATTACATGCAGCTAATGCTACAGCTAACAGGAGGAGGTAGGAGAAGCCGCGTTTACGCAGACTTTGAATTTTTGCACATAGCTGTGACTAAACATGCACAGGACACTTGGAAAACACACTAAAGAGCAGATAAAACCAGAAAAAGCAGAATATGGGACCTTTAAGAATTCTGCCTCCTTGAAATGTTTTTACCTAAAACATGAATCATTCTGTACTTCGACTGGCATAAAAAAGTGAAATTTCTTCAAAATAAAAGCATGTTCTGTCCGTGTGATGTGTTTTAGAGGTCAGCGCTCCTCAACAGGCTTTTTGTGAAGTCACTATCGGACAAAGCCCTCTCGCCTTTCCCAGCGCACACGTGTAACAACTGATAATATGCCACAGTTATGCGATCAACATCCACTGGTGAATCTAACTTGTTTGTCCCCTTTGCCCCCCCCTGTAGCTTACTTGGTGACACAGAGACTTCTCCCTGAGGAGCCAAGAAGCAGACGGCTCATGACTTCTGACCAGGACACGAAAGTTGTAGCTGAACCACAGGTGCAGCAAGTGCAAGAGGCAAAAGAGAACTCTCATTTGGTGAGTGTTACCAGCACACACATATGTTTTTACAAAATCCTCATGATGTTCCACCCTGCTTTAAAACAAATCTGGATTCCTTTGAGATCTTTTTCAGAGAGATCCCCAAACTCTTCTGACGTCCTTTTTGATGTTTTAGTTTGAGAAATACATCAGAAGAATCCTCTTGAACTATTGTGTTTTCATGCATATTAATCATATTAGAATAAAATGCTAGGCAGTTAGCATCACTGCTAAATAATGGGGGGGATTTCACATAAGGGACCCTAGACAGAATCCGAGTACACTTGAACCAAAGTCTGGTTCAATTGATCCCTAGTGTGAACACAAGCGTAGCGCTCGAGTGCGGTACGCTTGTACAGGTCTCGGGCTCGAGTCACGTGCGCTTGAGTACGGGAGATGTGAACACAACCGTGCTCAAAGGCAAGTTTATTTATGTCGCACATTTCAACAACAAGGCAATTCAAAGTGCTTCACACAACATCAAAAGCATCATGACAGAGGAAAAAAAAGAAATATTATAATAGAAAATGTAGAAAAATAACTAAAACAAACAATTCAAAATCACAGAAGAACCATTCAGACATTCCTTACCTCCTGATATTCCAGTTTTTATTAAGGGAGTCTGTTGGGTTTACTGTCACCAGGACACCCTTTTATTCATCTTGAATATTCAGTTTATTGCCTCTTTCTTAGCGATCTTCAATTACCCAGTAATTGGTATTCCATTTTTTTGTTAACCGGGGAAGGAAGTGGGAAGCTTTCATGATGTCGTATCTGTGCAGCCTCGGGCCCAATTTCATTATCTGAGCTGCACGGTATATGTGGAAGTAAGAAGAGGGTTGTTGTTGGCGTCTCAGAAATTATAAAAACATCCACATTAGAAGGATGGAAAAACAAATGTCGCCCAGTTGATGACGTTGGTGGTTGCCATGGTTGATTCTTCTTTCTTCTTCTTGGCGGATTTGCAAACCAACTACGTGCATACCGCCACTCACTGATTAAGACTGGTGGGAGAGGGGAGGTGAGGGGGAAGCTACTCTTCCTCCTTGTAGCTGGAGAACATTAGAATCTGTTTGTTGGCTGATCCCGAGTAAGAAACTATCGATGGACCCCAGAATCTTCTTCAAAAGTAGGACGTAATAAGAACAAACCTGTTCTTAAGAATGGTTGGTGAATGAGGCCCTGTGTCTTTATCGTCACCGATTTTACTCTTAGGTTTTGGTGATCAGCCAGAGTTGCTTGAGCACCTGCCCCCCCACATTTTGCTCACCAGTCCTCCAGGTGTTATCCCACATACAGGTTAGCTCCCTGCCAACACCCAGGCGGACGACCAGCCTTGGCCTGCTTTTGGCTGGTGTTGATTTCTCCTGCTGATTGTTTAGAATAGAGAAATGCCTCGTAAAGAAACAGGAGGCCGAGGAAGATGAAGCTCTCGTAACTTAATAATCCATGACCTGATTTTATTTCTCTCTTTTCATGAAGCCAGAGGTGTTTGTATCGATCGCAGGAATTACATTTTGGTCCTTCTCAGAGATTAAAGCACAGAGTTAACTGTAGTAGTACATCTTTGGGTGCAGTGAGGCAGCAGTAAAGATTTAGACTTTAACAGATTCTGACAATACAGTAGTCCTTAGTCAGCTTCTTTCCTTAAACTAATTACTTCATTAAACATTATTATTGACTATAATTAGCTCTGTAAACCAATTTTAGCTCTGCTCAGCTGTGATGCTCTGCTGCAGACAGTGCTGCTGAGAGGATTGTAAACTATCAAGTCGTTCTGTGCTTTGATGGAAAAATAACATCAGCCCAGGCGTTGTTTCCTGCATGACCTGTCGTTGAAAAAAGTTTTAAAGGGGACATATATTTCGAACGTATATTTGGGTAACCTGAGTGTCTACTGACCAACAAAATGTGAATTTGCACTGCATTTAAAGAGACGCACACACCAAAACGGAGCGTTCTGAGAGAGCTGGTTTATACAGGGTCACAAACCTCCTCTGGTGCTTGATTCATGTTATATTTTGAACAAAGCACAGCACAGATGTTTCATATAGACCACAGGGGACTGTTTGAAAAAGATGGAACAGGGGTATAATATGTCCTCTTTAATATAGCAATATATCTCTGATGAGCCCATATTGTTTAAAAATAGCATTAAGTAGATGATATGAAACATTGGTTATGCTCTAATTATAGCTATCCTGGTCTCGAGGCAAAAAATCTTTTCAACAATGGTGGCTCATTTTGAAGGCTGTCCATCATGTTGACTGATTAGACTACTGAGGGAGATCCAGTGTGTCGTCACACTCACACAGACTTATGCAGTTTGTGCATTGAGGTGATTCAAACTATCAGAAAAGATTTCCCTCAGATCATTTGGGCATTTTCTCCGACCTTAACACCCCAGGCCGGACCGGACGCATCTCACTATCTGGGAGAACTGTGGCCGCATTAAAGAGCTGTGGATTGGACTGGACTGGAGGCGTTTGAGTGCGTCTGTGACCACTAGGGGTCGTTAACAGGGGGCTGATGACGCTGTGTATGTGGTGCAGCGAGGGGGCGTGCTACAGGATTATCTTCAAGTCAAGTGAGAATCTTGATCACTTCAATGGGAGAAAAGTTCCCTGACTACAAAAGTTTGACCAAAAGGCTGCAGGGTGTGGCTTCACCCTTCAGGACAACATTAAAACAACCACAAGAAGTCGTACGTCTGAGGCAAAGACACAAAACATCATGTCAATCCGCCTCTCCTGCAATCTCCCCGAGGCGATTCATTTCGCTCGAGCAAGCACCCAGATTGAGTCGATTCAGAGCAGGAGACAGGCTGTAGTCGTTGGCAACAACCTGTCAATAGTTTTAGTGTTCTCCGCTGTCACTACAGGAAGACATGAAAAGTGACCACAGGGTTGATGTCTGTTAATCTTTACTGGCCATGCTCTTGTAAATGCATGATCTGCGGAGGCAACTAAATGTTTACAGCACTTCAGTCCAGGACAAAATTCCCCAAGTGGACAATAAAGTTGATCCTGTTTAGGAATGCACCGATTCAACATCGGTATCGGCCGATACTGGCAGACAACAAGACAGTCTCCCTCAACATCTGATGAATATTTATTTTATAGGCACAAATCAGCCTGTTAAAACAAAGACAATCTGTTATCCTGGATCTGACAACACTGCCATCTTCAAAATAATTCTTGTTGACCAATTCTGTTGAATCATTTAGGAGTTTGTGTAGCTAAATCTGCCAATGTTTCCTCGTGTGCTGGAAATGTCTGTTAACAATGCAAAGGAAAGGATCATGAGTCAATCAATGTCTTTGTTTAGTTTAATTCTTCTTGCAAGTAGAAGGAAAAAAGCTTCAGAGTGTCAATACAGTCTGAAGGAAAAGCTCCAAGTAATCACAATATGCTTGGAGTTTATATTCACATGCTTCACAGAAAAACCTTCATGCCTATATCAGGATTGCAGATACAGGCGCAGTCAAATATCAAATACATTTTGTCATACATTTTAACACGTCGCACAACATTAATGTCAAGGAAACTTCAAGTCTGAGTATCTTTGATATTTAGCTATTTGTGAGAAACCTTCATCCTTGGGTAAAGACAAAACAAGAATATTACGTATTTAAATTATTGTTGCATTTCTCAAGCGAGCTGTGAGTAAAATGTGTCCTCGACAGTAAACAGAATTTTTCCATTGCACTCGATAAATCAGCGGTTATATCTGAAGAAAAGTCTGAAAAAAGCATGTTTTTCTTCTTCTAACCAACCGTCCACAACCTGAATAATAATTCTAACCCGTCAGAAATGTTTTAGTTCTTACACAGTCCCAGATGTTTAACAATTTTGGATGAATTAGACAAAACAAAAACAGCCAATCGAACCATTGTAGAAGTTTTAACACCTTCCCTCTTCTTAAGTTTTCTTTCTCGTTCTCACACAGTCTGGTTCCTAATGTTTTCAGAACAGAAATATGAAACGAAGCAGCACACTCGACTCTGGTAAACCAATGGAAACAGCAACAGGTGAATGTTAGTTGAGGTCAAAGCTGTCAGGTTTCAGAGGAGCTGCCTCTTCATGAAAAGTTCAAACACACAACAGTGTTCCTCCTGCTGTCCAGAGCTAGACGTAGAATTACCTTTGTCTACACCTTTTATTAGTGTGTTTCCCTCCTAATACGAGGTTAGCTGCTAAGTTAATCACAGGTTTTGTTTGGGGAATCTGTGTGTGTGTGTGTGTGTGTTAGTGTGTGTCTGTGTGTGTGTGTGTGTGTCTGTGTGTGTGTGCGCAGTAAGCTGAGAATACCTCATGTTTTGATGCTTTATTGAGGTTGATGGTGAAACATTAAACCAGGCAAAACACTGACATTTATGGCTACGATCAAACTGCAGGCAGAAGTGCCACAAATCTGTTAACTTTTTGCTCGTATGTGCCTCAGGTTTTTTTTTTTTTTTTTTTTTTTTTTTTACAACAGTGTGAAAAGCACGAGTCGCGTGATATCAGATCTTTACAAATCAGGTTTTCGGGGCAGCTTTCATACCTGGTCCTGAATCAAACACAGGTGCAATCTTTAGCAATGCGACCTCATTGATGCTGATTGTAATGCAGCGGCGGTTTGTAAATGCTACGAGAGAAGAACAGTTGAGCTGGGTGTGGATAGTGTATGACTGCTTGTTGTGTAAGTCACAGAGTCTGAAACGTGCGTGCTAATTCCTCTGCACACATTGCAATCTTTTTGAAAGGTGTGTCTGAAAATGTAATTGCTGTTGATCAAACATTTGCCATCATTTAAAGTCAATTAGTTTATTAGTTTATTAGTTTAAGCACTGATGACACTAAAACACAGAAATGAGTTAGCATTTTGAGCACTTCCACTTCCATTCTTTCTCTGGGATTTGTGAATATGCTTTCAGTTAGCTGCCTGTAATAATAAAGTCTTCAGTGTTGCCTGAAGCTGCTTGCTGATGTAGCAACACTTCCTTTGGCTTTCAC